CTGCGCCTTCCCCGCTCCCGCCTCAGCCGCGCGGGCCGCCTCCCACAGCGGGAGCGCGCCCGGGCCGCCGGCCCACGGCCCCTTTCCCTCAGCAAAGGGCCCACCCCTCCCGCCGTTGGCACCCCCGAGGCCGCTTTCCCTCCACGCGGCCCCCAGCCGCCCCTGAGGCAACGTCCCCTCAGGGAGAGCCCCCAGGCCGCCCCCCTGAGGACCACTGGGAAACACCCCAGAGGGTGTTTTCCCTCGGTGAAAGCTGCAGCCCGCCCTCACCCTGGAGGCTGCTTTCCCTCCGCCCGCTGCCCGTTGGTTACAAGAGGAGACCTCCTTCAGAGGAAAGGGCAGGCCCATCCCGCTTCCTCCCACACACCCAGAACCAGGCCAGTTCTTGGCCATAAGTGACACCCACCATGTTTTATCCTTCCCCTTAACACCAGTCGATCATGAAACAGCCCCGCGGGGCGGCCAGACACCTCACATCGCCACCAGCCTCGCCAAGAAAGGGGAAGACATCGCTGCTGCCAAGGCCCTGGTGCCATGCTACTACTGCTGTCCTGTCCCCACTCCTCCAGCAACGGTTTAAATGATCCAGCATGGCGCTTCCACCCAGCAGGACAGTGTTGTGGGGCGTGAAGTGGCACGCGTGGAAGCCTCGACCAAAAATGCATAACCAAGTCCGGCCTCAAGACTGGGAAAAGGCCTGGGGAGGCTGTGGTCACTCCAACAGAACCATCACAAGGAGGTAATTGCCTGTTTTCAGTAATATGCTTCCTCAGAAAAACACCCCTAAGCTTAAGGGACTCTTAGGAAAACGAGAAGATGCAGAGGACAGCCCAGAACTGGCTTAAGAATGTTGATGAGAGAGTAATTGTGCTAGAAATATTTCATGGATTTAAACTATGTTTAATACGGTAAATTGCTTATTATTTTCCAGAAGCAGCCTGCGAGAAGCCAGGGCAGCTACAGAAGTAGCTGGAGACCTGCAGCAGACAGGCTGCAAACACGGCTGGAGGGATCAGCCTGCCATTGCAGAGAAAAACTCAGGACACAGAGCTTCTACTGCCAGCCTGGTCGCTCACACCTAACCCACACACCTGCTCGGTAATGCGCAAAAAGTAAGCACAATTGTTCCAGGGGAAGTAAAGGTTGGGTTTCATCCTTCTCAAAAGCATAAAGGAAGCAATGGATCCTGTAGGTCAACATGAAAGCACAGCAATAGGGCCAGTAGATGTATTAGTCTGAGGAGAGAACAGCGGCTTACGGCACAAACCCCCATATATGTACATATGTATATACAAAGTCAAGAGAAGAGATCTCCAGCTTGCCCTGCAGAGCAAACCTCCGTCACCAGGAGAGCAATTGTATTCTAGGTGGCATACTCCAAAGCATTTATACTAAATTGCTTATATTCTCTTAGTTCTAGGACCTCATACTTAAAAGAAAAAAGAAAAACCCAGGCTCTTCTACATAGTCAGGAGGGAAAAAAAACAACCCAAACATTGAATTGCCACATGCTACTTTTTCCGCTTTGTAAAACCAGAAATAAGATCAAGGGAAACTCAAGAGATAGCAAGTCTTGGGCACGGAAGGAAGGCACATTCCTGCAATACCACAATTATGCCCTTGCAGTGATCTCCATTAGAGAGCATGAAATCAGGACAGATCACTGTGTTTATGGGAGGAGTGGGAAGTCAAATACTTCCCCACACATGAAAGGAGCAGTAAGGCATGGTCACATCATGTGAGGGCTCAGCAGAAATCTTCAGAAATCAAGACTAACATTCACCTCTTAGTCAGCGTCACATGACTAAAATTCTTAGAAGAGGCCACAGTCATATTTAGCTTCAAAGCTAGTTATTGCTACCTTGTATTAATGTTGGTTTTAAAAAAAGAGAAAAAAAAAGGCAATGCTATCTCCCAGCGAGGTACAAAAAATGAAAGCGTTTCAAAACAACATTCATATTTTAAGTCTTACATGTAGTTTGCTAAGAACTAAACCTGGACTTAAAAAAAAAAATCACAACCACACATCAATAGCAGCATTGTATACAGTTCTTCCATGACAACAGCCTATACATTTACCTCACAAAATTATAAGCAAGCCACACTTGCTTCTTCCTGTGTGAAAAGAGGGGTCACTTGTTAAAATAAAGTCACTAGGTAGCAATGCAATTTTCTAAGAAGAGTTAGCAGTACACCAAACCATCATTTAAAAATAGGGGTAGCAGTCTGAAGCTGTGACTAACATTTGATGCGGTTCAGTTTTCTCCTCTAGTCATCCTCAGTGCAAACACCCAAAAAGGCATCCCTTAAAATAAATCCAGTTATTCTGGAGACAGACCTCTTGGTTTGTCTTTTTTAAGATCAGCATTTAGGTGATCAGCAACAGGTGAAGACTCCCAGCTATCCTCTCCTCCTCCACAGTAAGGATTCTGGGAGGCACAGGCAAACACTAAGGGGCCACAGCAGCATCTTTTGAGTATGCTTTTTTCTTACTCTTTTTTTTTTAGCAATCTGCAGTGCAAGGTGAAAGGTAGGCCACCATCTTCTGATGATGTTCCTTCAACAGCGCAGGCTTTTAGCACAGGAGGAACAGCCATTTACCAACTTAGAATTCAACTTTAATACACAATGAACAGAGAGACATTCAAGCTGTTTAAAAATATACCCGCAGTGTACTCCACAACACTTAGTGGTAAGAGATTATCCTCCTAAATCTACAGACAGGAAGATAAGCATTCCCATGTTGATGAGGTGCAAGAGCTCAAGGAATCCTACTCACAGCCTCAGACTGCGGGGCTGATTGCAGGCACTGGGAGTCCAGCCATCCCATTGCCACTCCCCCGGCTCCTCTGCCCGTCCTGCTCCCAGGCAAACCACAGGGCCAACCTCCAGCTCCACACCGTTCTGCGAGGCTCTGCTGTTGCTCATTCCTTCACCCTTTACTGGCACAAGCCTTACCTGTTTAGAGGTCTTTCCTTCTGAGACCTGCCTTGAATTTACATCTTCCTTTCCACCTGTTCTTTCTCTCCAGTTCCACCCTATATACAATTCCTCTGTAGAAGTCTGCTGATTTAAGTCACTAATCCAGAGAAGAAAAAAACCTAACTAAAATGGGTAGTTTTCTTCCCAGGTTAGCAAATTTAAGTGGTTGATGAGAGGATGCTATGAGCACCTCAGTAAATGCAAAGAAGGCAACAAAGTCAAGCTGGGAGCAGGCAAGCTAGCTGTGGCTCACCCTTCTGGTAGTGGTAAGCCAGCAGACCAGTTCAGCTGTCTGTAAAACTGCAGGCTACTTCAGGACAGAGCACACAGAACACTAAAAATAAGCTGGATGCTTTATATCTATCTTGAATGTAAAGAATGTTTCCAAAACTCTTAAGGAGTTTTACCCTTGCTAGCATGAGACTCCAGCATGTTTCTGAACTGAAGCATGTTTCCACACTACACTCTCCTCCCTCCAATTTAAGTTAACACAACACATTAGCTGAGTACCAAGCCAACAGTAAGCACCTTAAATTACCGAGTTATTCTGCAGGTTGCTGTAATTACATTGGCCATATCTGTTTGTTTGTTGTTGTTACAACAACTACAAACTGCCCCCGCCCTGCTCAGTGTCCTGCTGCAGTATCAAGACACCTTTGGTCCACTCAAAGGTGAATCATTTTACATGTTACCAAATGAGACAACACCATAGAATGCACATTTAAAAATACCACTTATAAAAACAGAAATTTATTGTAAATTTAAAAAAACAAACTGAGATTAAGTTTCTTGATAAAAATTATTCACACAGCATTCATGTTGTGATTTTTTATTTTATTTTTGAAATGAAACCATTGTACATTGTACAAACCATAACTACCGATGGAATAAATAAGTGAAAAATTATACTGCTGTACAACACACACACACAAATCATAAGATGGAAAACGATTAGGTATTGAAGAAAACAAAATTCTTTACACCTTCTAACAGGCCCTTAGATATAAAGAACATTCCAAAACATGACAATGTTTATGTATGAAGATAGCCACCCAAAACCAATATTTTATACTGCCTTGTTGATTATTTTTTGTTGTTTTGTAAGTGCCAGCACTTTTTGGAATGTTTAACAACTACTTTCCCAAGCATAAAAATTCCAAGGAATAGTTCTGCTATAAAATGTTTGGCTGAGTAAATCGCTTATTCAGAAGGCCTTCCCACATGTTCCACAAACTCAGCTAATTTACTTGCTTGCTTCTAGTTTCTTTTTTTTTTTTCTTTTTGTTTTCCTTTCTTTTTTTGTATTTATTTGTAACTGAAGCTCCAACATTCAGCATTGTAGCAAGGAAGCACTTCTTGATATTTGCACTACTTCTAAAACATTAGCTGTATGAGAACTTTCAGTCATCTTGAAAAAAATTACATCTCTCCGTCTGCTCCACGTCTCAATGCTTTCAATAAACCCTTTTACAGTGAGTTCATAAAACAAGTTTCTGGTAGAGATAGGTCCAAGCCAAAAAAAGCTGGATTTAGATCTGGTTTCAAACCTCAGGTTGATTTGAATTCGATGTTCTGGTTTGGTCCCATCTGTACTTTCTGGCATTAAAATGTGTTTAATCACATCCGTTGGCCCATAAATGTTATCAGGCACTTCAAAAAAAGACTAATAACAGTCTTATACACTATTTTGGATTTCTTCATACCAGATAATGTCAAAGTCTCTTCCCTTAGAGACTGACAATAACAGGTCTAAGGAACCCAAATCTATCTGCTTGTTCAGTTGTCTGTTGTCACTAGAATCTCTGGTTAAAAAAAAAAAGTTCTGAATGTATTCTGTATAAGCTGTAAATAAAGCATTACTACTTTAGAAATAAAGCCTCTAGGAATATGGTTATGATGCCTTGTCTTGTAAGCCACAGAACAATGAACAGTTCTGAGCAGAAGCCACAGGAGAGAAAAGGAAGTTTATAGTTAAACCTGTTGATGTCAATAATGCCAATAAATGCTTCTATCTAATGAAAAATTTGAGGTATTTTTAGTGCTATTTATATATTTTATTTCTTCCCTAAAGTACAGGAATTAGTTTCTAAACAAAAAGTCTATTTACTCCCTTGGAAACACCTACAAAATTAAAATTAAAAACTTGCTGCGATGCACCTGAAGATAGGGATTAGTAAACATGACTACTTGTCAAAGGTGGCATCAGATTTGTTTTGTTTTAGCATTAAAAAGAACAAAAAGTTAGTAAATCAAAAATATTTTTAAGTTTGAATCTTTCTAGATTTGCCCATTTAATATATCAATAGAACTTCTCACAAAATATCACTTAAATCTGAATGTAATATACATACAAATCAATCGTCATTGACCAGTTATCCACATTTTAGGCATACACACAATTCAAGAGAGAATTCTACCGTTTCATTGCATATATTGTGCAAATATAGTTTTTGGCTCCTCATTTCTTTATTTTCAGAATGTTAATGGACTTCATGATCAGACCAGAAATCCCAGAAACTTACTAGGGAGCACACTGTTTTCATGAATGATTTGCAAATTTTATTCAGTTAAAATCCAAAAAGTTTTATTTCAACATAAGGTTCCGAAACTGAGTGTCATACGTTATTTGGAGTTCAATCCTACAAACATCTTATGGAAGGTCAGTATAGGCTCCCCACTCCTCCCTCCCTATTCCCTCCCCCCACTTCCCCATTGTTTTTCATAATAAAGTGGTAATTGCAAACGCAATGCAGTAGTCTAAGTGCAAGCCATTTTCACTATTGGAGAATTCAGAAATAAATAAGCTTAATGAAGAGCTAATTATGAAAATGTATCAACTGGAAGCAATTTTTTTTTCATTTAAAAAAGTATTTACAGTTCCTAGCTTACAAACTATATGCAACCATTTTCATAGCTGTGAGATCATATTTTAAATTACAAGTTCCATCTCTCACACAAAGTGAAGACAGACTAAGGGCCCAATCCAGCAATATGTACGTATGTATGTACACACGTGTGCGTGTACTGAGGTGAGAAATAAGCAGTTCCCACCGACACCAGCTATTTGCAACTGGGAGCTCACCCTGGAAGTACAAAGCCCACTGTAAGATCAGGCCCTTGTGCCCTGATGCAGATGGTTCTGCACTTCTACATGCCACAAATTTGAAGGGAGTTGCACATACTTCGTGCCTTTCAATCAAGTTTAGCATAAGCACACTTCAACATAATTGTAAAAGAAGGAACATTTCTAACAATGATGTAGGGACTATGGAAACAAGGCTTATTTACAAGACTTGCTGAAAGAAAAAAAAGAAACCCCAAATACAGTATTAACCTGGAACATAGAAGTAAACATCTTATAAAGAAACAGTACAACGAAATCCAGTTCAATGAAAACACGGTATCAAAAAAGACCAATTGAAAATAAATTCACTGTGCATCAATCCCTTTGATCCTATTTATGTACATAGTGGAACTTTTCTGTAAAGCAAGTTGTACCCAGTACAGAGATCTGGACCTAATACGTAAGTATTTTAACTGCTGTGTTATAGTATATATTCAGATCTGGACTATAAATGGTAAACAGATCATGTTAACTTCTGATGAAGTTAAGTATTTAGAAGACCAAATTTACAGTTGCGAATGCCATGCATTCAATAAAAGATCTCCACTATAGCTGCTAAAATAAAATATCAAGCTCCTTTTTCTCCTTGGACTCCAAGAGTGAAAATGGCTTCCTGATCTGTATTTGTTAAAAATTTAAGCACCAGGGATTTAAAAATTAAAAACAGAACAAAAACCCCAAACAAAAAAGAAAAAAAAAAAGCCTTACTACATGGCGTTATACATAGGCCACTTTGCAAAGGAGACAGTTGCAAAACAACTTTTAAAAGTTAGCACTGTTTTCAGAACACAAGGCACAAAACAAAAGCAGACATCACGCCAGAACAATGAACTTCACATGAAAGCTAATACCTGACCTGTACCATCCTTAAATATCTTACAATGTTAAATAGAGAAATGAAAAAAAAAAAAATACAGCAGCAACATAATTGTAATTTTGACTTTAGAAACAGTGCGTAGACCCCTCCTGAGTTGTTTACTCCAACCATTTCAGAGACAGTAACTTAAAAGTTCTCAATGTTTTGTTTCACAGGAAAAAGTTTTCAGTGTCTGAGAAGTTAAACCTTTGTTAGGCTTTCTTGGATTTTTGCTTGGTAACTTGAAAAGTTAGGAGTTCTGTCCTCATCCAAGAGAAGATGCTTAAGTAAGGTTGTTCTATAATTAAGCCCACTGATGTACCTTACATAAAAACTGACCAGAAAAATCTATAGTCTAAATCTCTTCAACATTTTGTTGGGAAGCCTCTACTTTCATCTTTTTAGAAGGTGGCACTCCTTCAGAGTCCTTAATGAGGGGGAAAAGAAAAACAACCACGTTATCATTGCACTGAATTTCAGGCACCATAAACATCAAACAAAAAACATGAACAAATTCCCTGGTGTGTCATTTGTAAAATACAAAGCATCCCTGGATGCGAGAATGACATGACCGAGTGCATTTGCTTCCTGAAATCAGTCCTCTACTTACATCTTACCTCAACATCTTTACACTTGTTGTTGTCTACCGACAAAGGGCAAAATTCTAGTTCCAGGCTAAAAACCACAGTGAATATTCCAAGCAACAGCCTTGATGCATGGTTAATACCTGGACTTCCCTCAGCTCCACACTCGAGCACAACCCGCACCAAGTGCACACGAATTTTCTCCTGCTGTAGCCAAAGCAATCTCTACAGGACAGAACACGCAAGGTTTGGAAAGCACAAGGTGTGCACTGAAACAAGCCAACCACCCACAAGGAAAACCAATGGACTGAGCAGTGCTCTGCCTGAGGATCTTGGTGGAGGGGGACAACTGCAAGGCTAATTTCTTTCTCCCACCCACACAGAATTTTTCACTATACCAGTGAGTAAGAGTCCAAACATCTCACCCACTGAATCTAAAAAAATTAACCTTCCTAACTGCTATATGCATTTACTTTTACAGAAGGTATTTTATTTCTGAATGCTCCTCAAAGGGGCCTGTCCAGTAGGTTAGGTCCAAACAATTTATTAACATGAAATTTTAATATTCCCTTACAAAACTAACACAGACTGGTTTAGGAAAATGAAAAATAAATCAGACCAATCTAGTCTTACTGTTCAAATTATGTGAAATGCAAGAAGCCAATCAAATTAACGACAGAACCAGATACATGTACACTTAATACTCTACAGCTGCTTTACTGTCCTCACCTTTGGAAATGAGTCTAAGTACACAACTGGCCTCCTTACATCTGCTTTTTGGTAAAAATACTCTTTTCCAAATTCCAAGTAACTGGGCTTTTGCACTTAAAGTTACCTGAGAGTTTTTAGATGCCTCTGTAATTATATCATTTTCTCCAGAGGACTGAACTTCTGCTTTCTCTGAACTATTCATGGAATTTTCCATTGAAGACTGTGAATTCTGTTCATCAGAGGTATCTGAAATTTCAAGAAATAATTTTAAACAAACAAATGAAAGCATTCAGCATGGGCTTTTACGATGTCTTCTCATTAGCAACATCTCAAACACATAAATTTCACCCACATGTAACCATTAATGATAACATACATAACAACTGTATGAATATAATTAATTAAGCCCAAACTCCAGGACCACAACCACTGGCTGCGGCCAGAAGACCTTCGCCTTCACGCTGCCGGCAGTATACAATTGCCGGAATCGCTCCCTAGAGGGAGCTAAGCTCCCGCACACCCTGTGACACAGAACGATGTCAACGCTATTAGCAAACAAGTTTCAACATAAACTCTGCAAAGGGACTGACCGCAAGGAAACTTGCTTCAAACCAGAAGTAAAAGGCAGCTACAAAAAGGGCTGAATTGTTATAACTAATGGATCTAAAACTGTGTAGCTCAGGAGAGAGAATAAAGTTATCTGAATTGAAATTCAGAAAAGTATTTAAAATCCAATTTTTGCTTGATACTACTTTTAATACAAAATTTAGAAATTCAGCTAGCTAGCTAGCTTAACTATTAAAGTTGTGGAATTTTTAATTCTGGTGCATACTTGTGGAGAAGTCTTCCAGATTGTTATAGCTCTGGGGTTTGTTTTGGTTTGGGGGGTTTTGTTTGTTTTTTTAAACACTTCCCCCCCCCCCCCAAGACTTACAGAGGACTCAGGCTTAAAGCACCCATTGACTCAAAGAGGGGATAGGGGCACTTAAAATGTCTTTACAGGTTAAAGATCCCTGGAAGTTTAACACAGTATATCCAGAAGCAGAGACTCAACAAAAAAAACAAACAACAACAAAAAACCCACCACCCAAAACCAAACCCCTTTGACTGTAAAAGGTCAGTTATATTTCCTTCACTACCCACATCAAGAACAGTCCCACATTCAAGGACTGGAATCCATTCTTTCCTTCACATCATTTAAAAATCCTTTTTGACTTGAATGAATTCTCAGAAGTATGCATGGAGTCAAGTTTTATGAAGTGATCTTTTCACAGGTCCCTGACCCAGGAAACAAATTTATTCTAGATGATGAGAAATGCAAGATCAAAAAAATTTTTTTACAACTTTGGTTAATGAAGATGACATAATCAGCAAGTAATGGATATTTTTGTGGTGTACTGTATGAAAAGGATCACAAGCATTTCTGAAAGTTTCTCTGACTGAATTCAAGATAAAGTGACGCCTATGATGAGCAGTCTCAAAGATCATATTCAGCAAACTCGGACAGAATTGTCTTCCCTTCCATGTCTCACCAGAAAAGCATGTTCATACTGATAAAGAAACAAGTCCCAAGGGTCAGAAGGAATTTCAGTTTCAATTTCTGTTGTGTATGTCTGAGCATACATTGCTACTTGAGCTAAGGAACACTCTGTGATGTGCCCATCACCTCATGACAAAAAAGCACACCTAGAGCAACTTCCACAACAGACAGCTCATAGCTGCTGTGCTCTCTTCCAGTGCTACTGACAGCTACCGCTTAAGGTGCTGCTGGCCTTTGGGCATGGGGATCCGTATTTTAAACTGCCAAGCCCCAAGCTATTCCAATGCTTGCAATGACTTGTTTACGCACCAAAATGTTTTGAATGTACCTGTTTCTTTAAGAAGTCCACATTAGACATTTCTGACCACCCAAACTCTCCCCTAGCCTTAAGCAACCTCCCTGATTTCAGTGTAGTAACATGAGATAGACTACAAGGTCATTAACCCTATCCAGCTGAATAATGTCACAGTTCCGGGGGTTTGGCTGATCATACACTTTGGTAGATAAATAATTATTTAATAAATTTTTAAACACAGCATATAACCAAAAGAAAAAAAACACATTAATAACAGGTATTTTTTGCCCTTACTTCTCCCTTTCATTTTACAGTAACTGGCTCTGGAACTAATCCAGAGAACTTGGTATGATTTTCCTGGAACCTAAATTTAGTCAGGGGAGCATGCATGCTATGTAACAACTTCACACAAGCAGGTTCAGACAATATTAGACCTAGGAGGAAATCCTTACCAGTTACCGTGACCAAATATACTAGTTGAGATTTTCTTTGAAGGATATGGTGTTCTGATTTATTTCAATTTGGTGATGATTCAGTTGTCAAATTTTAACCGCAATTAAAATGACAACATTTAACGTACTTAACCATTCTGGTATTACCAAGATAAAAGCTCTAAATTTAAATTGGTTAGTGGATCTACTGAGCTGAGAACTAAATCAGGAGGGCATAATTTAATTGCTTTGCTATGGGAAGAATTCTGCAACTAAATCATTAGAATGGTGTTAAGGACATCTTTTATCTGTTATAATAGGATGGAGAAAGTTATCTTCCCAAGAATATAAATACAGAGCATGTTTCAATTACTCAAAATACCATTTAAAGAGTAAGGTTCAGAACAAGCTCTTAACCCACATGTATTTTTAATCTGTGCACAACTGCAGTACAATATTGTAACACTGAGAAAATTAGGACAGAATTCAGAGCTAACTTTTGAATAAGTAACTAGCAGGTCGAGAAAAAAGAAAGCTTACATTAAAGTTTACACAATTAAAAAAATAAATTTAAAATATCTCACCTCTGTTTTACTTTCACACTAGATAACATTCACGAATCTACAAAAGTAATACTTTCCAGGATTTGTGTGATTACATGGTAGCAGCCATTTTAAAGATGATTTTAAACTATTTCTTCTTCCAAGACCGAGATTATGACAACAATAAACCCAAGTATTTTCTTTGTTTCCTCTCTGAAAAGACCCTGAATGTCAATCTAACCTTTCCAGTTCTATGGAAGAATCACCAGTAGGCCAGAGAGATTATGGTCCATTTTCACATAAATGCTAAGAATTCAGAAACTATTTCTTTCAAATTGTTAACACTCAGTTCTTAGAATGGATAAGCAAGTAAATGATACACTAAAGGATAACATTTTTTTATTTGGCTTTGAAGATGGTCTTTTCAGCTTACCTTCTGAACCAGGCTGCTCCTTTGCTTCTGTCTGAGTTTCATCAGACTTTACTTCAGTGCCATCTGCTTGTGTTGCCAAGTTCTGTTCTGGTGCTGGACTTGAATTACTACTGTTTTCTTGTTTTATTGGAGAAGCATCTGCTATTGAACTCTGGTTGCTATTGTCATCTGTTAACAAAAGAGTTAAAAACATGAAAGTCTAATTTGACAAGATAAAAAGCACAACTTAATTCTTCCATATTTTTCCTGCATTATGCCCTGATAACACATGATACAGTCTAGCTTGTTGGGGATCAAGTCCAAGCATTTAGACTAACACTACATCTAACCTTTTTCTACACCACCACAATTTTTGCTCTTGCAGCCTATGCTGTAATACAGGAGTTTTCTAGCAGTCACTAAAAAATAGAAAACTGCAAAAAAGGTGATCTCACTATTATTATACAATAAAACCAAGAGTGTTTTACTCAGATCTCTTCCAAAAGAACCCAGAATTGTGTAATATGAGTAAAACAGATCAACTGAAGCTACAGCTTCATTTTATAGTTCATATAATACAGGGCTAATTAAGTGTTCATGCTGCAGATTTACAAATACCCATCACTACAATGTTCAGATGAGCAGAGAGTTTTTGAATTGTATCCTGAAGGTCAAAAAAAAAACAACAAAAAAACCCAACAAAAGCCCATCAAGGTAAAATGTAACATCCAGTCCCACCATCAACAGTTTCTAAGTGATTGTGCAGCATATTCTCTAGCCTCCAAAAACTTGGATCATAGTAACTTTCTGCAGCACAGATCATGTCTCTGTAGTTAACAGGAAATATTCTGCCTGTACCCTCTTCCTGTGAAAACCAGTGACAGTGGTTTAAGTATCTCAGCTAACACTTAATGGATAGCAGTGGGGTGCAACTTCCTGCAATCTTTAAGCCAGTCTAACAACCACGGGTAGCCAAAAGGGAAGCTCCTGCTCCCTAAAGAAAACTAACCCAGCAAAACATTATTAGTTAGATGACTAGCATGCAAGTCGATCCACCTCCCTCTGCACCTGTACAATCATTATATTCAAAGGACTTTAGAAACACACAGCTGGTGATGGGACCATCTCTCTTCAGAGCAGCTTGAAGTCAGATCAGATTAAGTTTATCATGAAATTGTACAGTAATGGCTTAAAAACGCAAGTGAGATATGATAAAAAAAGCAAGCAGTATATTCACCTCATGAGTGGGAGAAACAAGACTTAAGAAAATTAAATTATCTGACCAAGTCAAAAGCTAAGAGGTTTGAATCAGATGAAAAATTAACCAAGATCTGTGAAAATTCTGCTCAGTCCTTTAATTGCAAGGCCATACTTGCTGTGAACATTGCAAAAACCAACCAGGAAGCAATACAAATGCAAGTAAAATTGAAATGAAAAATTTACAACCCACTGAAAAGTGATGCCCTCTTATCAGCTCAAATAGTGCTGCATTCTCAGCCATAAGTTATCCAAACTAGTGTTATCCAAACACCTAGAAGGTAAAAAATTGAAACAGAGCTGAGCTGTGCAAGCTCCTCTGTAATAAACACCAAGTTAACATTCAACAGTTGACATTAAAAAAATAAAAATAATAATAAAAAATTGATCTAACAGTGCCTGACTGGCAAGCGAAAAAAAAATTTCTTAACCAGTTAATTTCATCAAGCTGAAGCAGAAGGAAGACACCTCAGAACCAGAGCTCACTTTCTTGGCTCTTGCAGAATTCTTTTGATCTGAATCACCTACAGAGTTAAAAAGTACAAAACCTGCAGAACTTATAGAAAGTGCCACTGAGGCTTTGGGGGTCTTTTGGTTCTTCAAGCAGCAATTTTGACAGTTACTACTTCACCTGAGTGTAGTATTTTGAATGGTAAATATTTCTATTTTTGTTTTCATATTTAGCTCCACTAACAATTTTTTCCCTACACACAGCCTAAATAAAAATGGCATTTAAACAACTGTTAGTACACCCACAGAAGAGAAGTCCAAAGTACCAAATGAGTATCTGATGCTGTATTCACTTTGACTCAGTTGTGCTGTCCATACATCTGAGCAATGGAGAATTTGACACTGTTAGCTTATACCTTCATAGCAGTGTAATAGGCTAATTGGGGCTGACCTTCTCCCACTCACCATGCATGTCCATCATTCCTGGAGAGGAGCTGTTCTCTGGAGTGGTCACTTCAGAGCCACATTTTTCATCTTTGCCTTTTTTCTTATTCTTATTTTTCTGAAAAACAAAAGGTACCACAAACAAATGAGACTACCACCATGAAGAGAAATCCATGTTGCAATATAAAACCCTTCCCACTCATTACTTCTGTAACCATCTCTCTTAATTTCAAGTGAGAAATAAAGCCAATGTAATAATAACTGACATTATCAATAATGCATTAGTCCCAATAACTGCAGGTCTGTTTTTCTAATTATATTCTTCATGACACAAAACACTAGGACATACAGGTTTTTATCCAGAAATTCTAGTAATAGTCAGCACTTAAACATGGCTTTTTATCTTCAAACAACTGCATAATTTTTGTAAAAAGTGCAGAAGTACTCAGTAATACCCCTCATTCTACAAACAGGGAATCTGAGGCACAGTGATTAAACGGCTTGCTGAAACTGAGTCAGAGAACCTGGGAGGTGCTGGCTGCTAACTTTGTGCTTGGTCCAAAGAGCTACAAAAGCAAGGTCAAAAGAATCTCTGCTATGCCAGGAAAAGAGAAGAACATCACTGATCAGAGGCAGGGCTAAAATTCATGAAACTACCCTATTTCTGAGCTTGTAACTCTGCTACAAAACTCAATACATTCTCCCTTCCATATCAGAAAGCTTGTGGAATACACCTAGACAATATGCATGCATGCACAACAGGAATGATAACAGATCTAAAATTTTAACACTAAAGAGACAACTTTTTACCTCTTTCTCAATGACCAACACTGCAGAGACCTCCTCCTTCTCTACAACTAATGCTGTTTCTTCATTAAAACTAAAAGATGGATTAAGAAAAATCAGATTGGCCTAAAACAAAGAGCATAAGCAAGACAGTCCTACATGAACAATAGGTCACAACATGCTCATGACCGAACAACAGTATGGACTGCAAGCATTAAAACAAAGGAAGAGACAGTGGCATCCATCACGTGGAAAATCTGCGTCTGCTAAGGGATGCAGCATTTTCAATTAAGAGGTGACGTAATCAGTCTCATAGGAAAAAGAGCCAGCTGCGCTGCTTTTGGAGGATCCTGCGTGCCTGCTGAGAAGACAATTAAAAGCCTGACTCTAGGAAGAACGCTCAGCAACCCATCCATTCGGATACAACAGTGTCCTCCAACGAGGGAAGGAACTAAAGCCACAATCAAATATTGTCTAAGACTGCAGAAGAAATTCAACAAGTGATATCTGGAAGCACTTTTCCCTCTATTTTAAATAGATTATTAGGCTTATTTTTAAATTGTATTTTTACTTCAGAGAAGCCAGATTTATTCCCTAATATGTGAAACAGAGGTGAAAGCACATGAACTTCTTTACCTTTGCAAAATGAAAGTTCAGAGGGGACATAATCTCTCTCAGGTTTGGTTATTTGGGGTTTTTTAAAGGTAAAAAGGACATTTTTGCCACAAGAGAAATATTAAAAAATGACTGCGAGCAATTTAAGCTGAAAAGTTTTCTTTTAAAATGTTTAACCATCAGAGTGGTGAGGTTCTACAACAGCCTTCCAAAACTAGTAGGAGGAAAGAGCCTACCTAATTCTAGTTCAAAGAAATGTCAAATTGTCTTAGGAACTACATGTGAGGGGGGGAGGTAATCTAACCTGTGTTCAGGAAAATCAAAGACAACTTCCATTTGAAACATGAAGCAGTAAAAAAGATCCCATTCTCCTATTCTGGTAAAAAACAAGTATACTGTCTGCTCCTTCACAGGTGGATGAAATCGGATATGAAAGGATGTCCACAACAAAATTAAATAGCCAAAATGACCCCTACCTGATATTTATTTTTAAAATGTATGCACTTCGTTTAATTCTGAAAACTTCCAGAGCAAAAAGACGGAAACCTTATTACATCAAGCCTGCAACAACTGCAGCTGCACAACAGCCTCTACTTGTAATGACCAGAATGTGACTGTAGGACACCAAAGTAACAGGTCTTGAACAAGTGTCCCAATTTCAGCAAATCTGGAGCCTAAACCTGAAGATGATGGCTCAAAAAATACAATTAAACTCTGCACATAGAGACCATTATAGAAACCCATTCTTCTTAACAGAGAATGAGTTCAGGTACCAGCACCTTGAAAATTCATCCAGAAACTCACTAAAAGTTCTATTTCAAAGTTCCATGCAGGCACACCTTAACTGCAGGAAGACAATTTTCAGAAGCCATGAGCCTAAGTATCCTACATCTATCTCTCTCTGATAGCACAGCTTTTCCCCCCCTATGTATTTTAAACAGTAAAATAAAACCAAACATTTGGCAGCTAGAAAGAATGAGTTTCTGTAAAGAAACCAGGAAAGGCTTCCCAGTTCACAATGGGTTACTTCACACAGATGCTGCTCAAGCATTTGAAGAATACAAGAGGCTTGCCACAACTCTGACAGTCACTGAAATCTGTGGTACAACCAAAGGCACAGAAAGAGACAAACACAGTTAAAACAACACTAATCAAAAATAGGTCTTGAATTTGGACTTTGAATAAGACAAGATCATGACAATGTCTTGTCTGAAAACCCATCATTTTACACATTTATTAACAGAGCAGTTATCTTCCAGATAGGTCTTAACTCATATTTCAAATAAAGTAAAAGCACATGACAGCCCAAGGAAGGAATACCAAACTTAGGATATCTATTCTACTCTATCATTAATTTACTGTGGTACCATGGATTAGTTTTCTCTCTATAACAATATTTCAATTTATAAAATGAGAACAATGTTCAATTTGAAAAACAATTTGTAAGCCCTATCAACTTTCATTTTTACACTTACTTTTATGCCACATGATGGTATCATGGCAAATGAACAGTGCACACTAAGAATGTAAACATGATGCATACACAAAACATTCATCAAGAGAAAACACACATTACAACAGAAGCATGTCTGCTGTGTTGCTTGGGTTGGACATTTTAATACAAGTGATCTCAGTTTCACAGGATTATCCTACCCTTACTTCAGTGCTTTGCACCTATTTTTGAGCAAAACAGCAGTGATGCACAGATAGAATACATTCTCTGCACAGTTCCAAACCAGCTACTTTCCTTTAAAGCATCAGGCAGAAAGAGGGGAAAAGTAATTGATGTCTTAGCTTTCCCTCCCCACCTCCCAATTATTATGTTAAAGAAAGGTTTCAAAAATCAGTTTCAAGCCAAACGTTTAAGTTATCTGAGAACAGATTCAAGTTGACTCCAGAAAGACTGCCACCCACTGAACCATCACCATCACTTTCTGTAGAGATCAACATTTTCCCTAGAGCTCTTCTATTCAAACGCTTGCAAGACCCACACCAGTCTTAGCTTAAAGGCTCAAAGAATAGAGAGCATATTTCTCTCGACTTTCCCTAAACATGAGTGTCTACATCTTGAAAAAAGCAAGACATCTGCAGGATACTTACATCATCGACTTTAGGCTCTGTTACTGGTACCCATTTGTAAATCCTTAGGGATGTGTCGCCAACTGTCACCCACTTCTTCTCCCTATAAAATTACAATGCAGGAGAAGTTAAAGTTAAACTTCAGATTCAAAAGAAAGTGATCTACTATTGTAAGTTGTCAAGGATTTAAATAGGCTATTAAGTAGGATGATCTCTATTACATCGCCTTTAGTACTGCATTGTGCAAATTGTTCTTTGCATTTCAGAAACTTGTTAGAGCACTGCTAACCTCCAGATTTCTCAGGGCTGTTACTTGAGTAGGTGAGTAACTGCAGTAGCAGTAATAAGATCTGGATTAAACATACAGTTAAGAAGAACAGCTATTGAAAATGCAGATTTAATGCCTACAATTTTCACTTAAGTTTCTAGAGAGCAGAAGAGGTTTTAGACAGACCAGTGTTTTGATTGTCATGAAGCTGTTTAATGGTTTTAGAAATCTAAATGCATTTTGACCATCTGAGGTTTGGTTTTGGGTAGAAATTTGCTGCTAGCAATTTAACGTTCACTCAACACTCCTGTCAGACAGCTCTGAAATTCTAGCCTTAGAACCAACAGCCTTATTGGTAGCAATATGTGCCGTGATGCAGAATTCAGACTCTGGAGAGCCTAGCTCTCTTGGAAAGGCAAGGCTGAGGCTATCAGAGAGGGAAAAAGCATAACCTACGGCACTCTGTGCAGACCCCTGCCAGCCAGCCATGAAGTCGTGACATTGACAAATTGTGAAGGAAATCTGGCTGGAGGGCATCATGCAGTCACAGAGTGTGGAGATGGAAAGGATGTTGAACACTTAGTTAAGGGATGAATTCCTTGAGCTCTTTACATCAGAATATTAAAAGAAGGTCCACAATGCCAGAGAAATTTCATCACATTTCTGTGATCGGTTTTCAGGTCACAGATTACCACTGCTGGTTCCTGGGTTTGTAATATAGCTCTGCAAATGGATCGATTAAAAGTTAACAACAAAGACCAATTCCATTAAATATTCAGGAACATCTGAAATTAATTTGGCATGAGATCTCAAGCATTTTTCTTTTTTAAAAACACATTTAAATAATAGATTTGGGACCCAGTTATAGATTTAAAAAAAAAAAAAAATGTTCTTTGCAGGATGGGAGAAGCTGGATGTGACTCCAAATATACATATGCGATGCTCCATTTTTAGAACGGGCTTCCAGAATCAAAAGCAGCCACATTGTACAAATGCCACAAACATCCTCCTGACTATTTATTTTAGCTACTAAAGCCAATCTTATTTGTTTTCCCTTTAGAGGAGACACTTTCCTGGTTTTGTTTTTGTTTTTTTTTTTTAAAAAAAGCTATATATGACAATTTGATAAGTTCTGGATCTGTCCACGAGGATATTTTAATTAAAGTACAAAACTATTTCAGATTCATTTCTTTCCCACTGCTCTTCCTGGAGCACCGTTTTTCCTCAATGTGTTTAGATACACCCATTTGCGTACGCTAGATGGCTAAAGTATGTCAAAACCCAATTTTACGCTAATTTGGAGCTCTACTGCTAGATGTGATAAAAATGACAGTGGAGATGAGGGCATGTCAATTATGAGAGCATACTTAATTGTGAAAAGATGATAATGATATAATTTTATTTTTTTTTAAGGATACAAGACAAACTAAACTTATTTCTACTTAGGAAAACCTTTGAAATTATGGAAATAAAACCAGTTGTGGTTTTGTTTTGGGTGTGGGGAGAGGTGAATAAATGCTTTAAAAAACCCAAGATTTTAGTCTTTTCCTACAGCAAAATATTACTTAGAGATGCTGCACTGGAAAACCAAAAGTTCAAGATACCTGTTAGCATCTCAAAGCAGCCTCACACAGCATCTTCACTGGACAGACTGTAGAACACAGGAGGAAACCTATATTAGTAACTTTTTCCTTCTAGTATTAAAATTAGTCCTGACATCTTAATTCTTTGAGCTTCTTAAGTACCACTTTAAGTTTTGATAACCCTCAGCTATAGGGATTTTTTTACTGAATTCAATACACAGTAAATTCAGACAACAATGGGAATAAGGATATTGTGTGATGGAAGTACACCAACATCCCAGTCCTGCAAACACTTATGGTTAAAAAGGAAACCCAACATCACACTGCTATTATTCAAATATTTTACATGTGTAAGCATTTACAGTATTGAAGGTTCAAGACCATACAAGTATTAATAAGAAAAAAGAAGACAACCTCCCCTAAAACTTAATAAAATCATTGGCAGCACAAACACAAATTTGTTAACAAAGAAACGTAATGACTTTTGGACATTTAAGATCAACAGGGTAAAATAACTTCAGGATTTAAGATGTTTATTGCAAATAAAGCTTCGAATATTTTCTGTAATACTTACTGCCTTTCCATTTCAAGCCAAAAACCAAAACCCAAAACAAAAAAAAAAAAAAACCCCCCCCCCCCCCCCCAAATCCCCAAAACCACTTCTACTCTGAACACTCACTTTTTATCTTTTGTGCAAAGACATCGTCCCAACCTGCTGATCAGGGACTTTCCTTTTCATTTAGTTAGAATTGACAATTTACTGATGCTGCCCATAACAATAAGTTTGCTAAATGCTGCACAAACTACAAAATATTCTCGCTGACCAAATGCCAGAGTAGGAACGAGGAATTAATGAAATCTCGTGCCCATTCTGTTGTGAAACCTTAAGTAGTTTCTCCACCTGTTTTCCTGCTGTAAAATCTACTGTTGAACCCACTCATCTTGAGACCCTGATCAGAATTCCACTCCCCTAACTCTATTCCACTTTTGTTAAGTGATCACTAGGCAATATTTTTATTACACCATCCCCTGTTATACTATATAGGTTGATCTCTGTATTGACTGGTGGATTGGAAAAGGTGGTTGATGGAACACCATCAACCTGAGAGTTAATCAGGCTAAAAACGTGGCAATTATCAACTTTACTTGCCCATGTCTAGCTGACAAACTCCGTAGCTTTACAAAAAAAACATTTTTTCTGGTTTCAAACCTCTCCTGTTCCTCCATGAATGACTCAGGAATAACAACACTGGAAAATGGCAAAACTTAAAATATATACAAAAATATTTTTTTCTTTTAATCTTCCATGCTGAAAAGTATCTTAAATACTTTAGTTATAGTAAATTCAGAAACTAATCAATGCAACAGAAACAAACCCTTACATTTATCTGAAATTGTGTTAAAGCATTTTTAAACTCCAAACCATATCTGCACAGCATTTAAAGGACAGCCAAGGATACGTAGGGTAAGCATTAGTATCAACACTTCTTTAGTGCTTATGCCTGAGGCATACTAATATCCTAGAACTTACATAATTACATACTCAATTCCCCATTCTAAATAGCCCAAGACTCTTAAATAGATTTATATTTTGTATATTAACACTAAAGCTCCAAAGATTACTATCAAATTCCATGTATAAAAGTAATATACTGGTAAGCAAATGCAACAGTGTATATTACACTTATACATAAAGCGTCAAGGCAGCTTCTGCAGCTGCAATGAGTGCTAGAAACATTTGATGGCAAAGAAACAGAAAGCCTTTACTGCCAATATATTATCACTCAAGAAAAGGCTTTCACACTTATTTGGCCTTTTACCGTGACTATCATTTATCACAGTGATCTGTATTTACACAAGGATTTGCTCCCACATACCCCATCTTCTGTTGATGATCACGAAGTGACGTCATAATGCTGAATTTATCACATCACACTCACTTGCATTGCAACAGAGTTTGGTGAAAATCACAGAATTATGACCTCCCTGTGGGATCAAGCAAAGGAGAAAGGGGAATGGGAAAGAAAATGGCATTATTATACACAAAAAGTGCTGTCAGATGCACAAAAAAAGATTTTTTTGAAAAGTAGGCTTGCTTTTCAGAGCACGCCTGTTGCTATGTAGACGTTTGTCTAGTGACTACCCTGAAGTAGCCCCAAATATACATGGTGTTTCTTGACCACCCTGCAGATACAATAAAATACCATGTAGCATGAATGGACAAAGACTAACAGTTAAGGACACCTTCTGTCTGAGTTTATGTAGATATGGTATATTACAAGAGTCTCCTTTAACTTACACAGGTCAGCCTGTTTTTAAGCAAGTTCTGCTAGGTTCCACGTTGCAACAAGCACCTTTTCTTTCAATAAAGAGAAACATGGCTTACACATGACAAAACTCTACCTTTAACATACACCCAACTTCCATTAAAGTCCGAGACCATGTCCTGGCTCAAAAAGAAATAATCATGCGCCAGAAAAAATGTATCATAATTCAAGCATGATAACAGCGTGTTTGGGCCACTACAGTACTTCAGGACAGTTCCTGCACATACACTGGGTACTTCTACTTCGACTGCCGCTACCTGACCTACAATCTTAGCAGGAAATCAAACACAGCCAACGTAGCCAGACTAAACTAGGGTGGCAATCTGGTAGTAGCAAAGAGTGTTTTTCCGAAGACATCATGTTAAGGAGTTGTAGGTCGTAACTACTTTTCAGAGTGAAAGCCTATTTTAAGAAGGAAGCATGAGCAGCAAAACCTGCAGAAGCTCATTCTCAGAGCATTACATACCACACAAAAATATTTTAGCAAGTCTGAATGGAGACCAACATTCTCCAAATCAGGGTACCTATGCACATCAGCCACACCATACCTCCATCCCTAAATGTTTGCACAGTTGTCCAAAAGCTCAGCAGTCCTATGTACCCATGCAAATTATTTCACTGCCTCCCAAGATGTCCTACCACTTACATTTGTCTCCTGCCCATTACTTGTCTTTTAGTAAACGTCTGCATTTTCTTTTGTTTAATAAATCAGACTTTTATAAAACAAGAGTGTTTCCAGTATTTTCCTAATGCTGGTTGAGGGCGCAATAGTTTTTGCCTCTTCTTGAGAACCCACTTAGAATCTACGCGTACCCATCAATCTCTAAAGACAAAAAACAATCCTGTACGTTTCACAATTCACTGAGATAAATTTATCTCAGAGTATTTTTTTAAAACAGACTGAAAGAACAATTGTAAGTACTGTTAAAAAGAAGTAGAACTACCCTCTTAGCCAAGGAAATTTAATGTTTCTGCCACACAAATACAACACAACCATGTATTCTGTAGGACACGTGCTATGTGTTTTCTGAAATAGATGCTCATTCATGAGAGTGGTTTAAACAAAGGAGATACGGTTACACTAATCTTCAGATAAAAATGTAACAACTTCACTGTTTACTACTAAGTTCCAGTAATACCAGAAGTGCTAGACACTCTACAAACACACATGAAGATAGGGTACCTGCATCAAAGGGCTCACTGTCTAAGAACAAACACTTAATTTTCTAAGGAACAAAGTCTGCACTGGTGGAAACTGCTTTCCAATAGGCACGTTCATAGACGTGGCAGTACAGCCGTTCAGTAATACTGCACGGCAAGGCTGCTGCACACCTTCACAGATCGATAAAGCATAGGGCAGCACACGCAGGAGCCACTGTCCGCTCGGAAGAGTTTACAGTTTGGTCTGCCTCTCTACTCATCCTCGGCACGCAGCGCTCCGAGCGCACAAGTCTAAGAAAACTCTTGTTCTATGAAATGTTGGATGCAAGGTATTTTAATCTTCAGTGGCTGCATTTCCACAGAAGAGCTGTGGATGGCAACAAATTGCCCCTATTATGCAAATGAAACTGCACACTTGGAAATTGCCTATGTGGCTCTTCTGAAGATGCAGGAATCGCTAGTGTGTAAAGTTCAATTTAACAAGCCAAGTCTTCTCAAAACATTTAAACCACAAGACACAGAATCTCTCTTGCTAATTTCCCACTGTACTTGACTGCAGGGGGGGGGGATCATGAGATTCACCTTCAAATTACGATTCCTTTAAAAATAAGAAAACTGGCTTATGTAAATACTTGTGAGATGCACACACAACAAGCTGTAAGAACACTTCTGACAATAATCAAAAGAAACGTTGATGATGCTGTACAGGAACCCTTTAGAGCAAGTTATCTCTCAGGAGGGTTAAAACATACAAAAAAAATCTATTTATACCATAAGATTTCTGTTTTATAGAGGAAGCCATAGCAACTGACATGATGGCAGAGAGCCCTTGCCAAGAAAAAAAAAATTAAAAAAATTAGACATTTTGTTGAATGGCCAAGCTTCTGCCTCTCCTCCTCTCTGAAATCCACAAACTAGGATTCAAAGGAAGTATGCTATGCTCATGAATGAAATACCTACAGACAAAATAGTCCCACGCATCCAACAATGCTCCTGTTTGAACGAAAGTCCTGTCACTTCGCTATATATTGTTCTGACCCTTCAAAGCTGGCCCAGCAGTCAGCAAACAGCACTTAAAAAACACCACCCGAGTAGAAGAGAGTTCCTGAAACCAACCGAACTCTGGTGCTCGCGCTGCTCCGGCTCCCTACACAATGGCTGGATTCTTTGAAATCCCCATCTCGTGCCCTGCGTTATTGGACACACGTCCCGATTCTTTGTCCAGCTCAAGCCAACGGGCCCATTCATGTGCTCAAGGCCATTTAAAACCCAACAATCCATTTCACCCGAATAACGAACATGTTTAATTCTGCATTTTGCTCTCCTTTTAACGAAAGCGAAGCATTAGCTGTGGATTGCAATAAAAGTGTCCACTTATTTTACCACATTCAAAACAGCTGAGTTATGCAGATTAATACTAACCCGAGGGATTTCCCCATGGATTTCAAATGTTTAAAGTAAGTATTTTAAGATACATGCACACAGACTACTGAACAGTCAGTCAACTTGCTGGAAGAAAGATTTGCTCTCCAGTCACACTGGCACTGCTCTTTATCCCATCCCAAAAACCCTGAACCGACTGTGCAGAACATTGCATTGACTGTTTTACTGTATTGTTTAAACACCTCATGTTGATTTTCCTAACAAAAGCAGAAAAAGACAAAAGCGGGAAAATGCCAAAACACGTTTAAGGCCTAACAAAAGCGAATTATTTCACCGGGGGTACAACCTTTAATTATATCATTTAAAACAAATTCCAGCAGCAATTACGCGCTCTCTCCTGCTCCCCTCGGCATTTACAACCGCCGGAGCCTTAGTGGGAGACGATCCCGCCCGGGTTTGCTGCGCTTATGTGCAAACCTGGGGAACTTGTAAGGTAAAATAAATAAATAAACGTGCAATAATAATAATAAAAAAACCCTCTCGGGCGGTTTACAGGGGTATTCTTAATGCTTTTTTTTTTTTTTAATACTTCTTTGAGCACTATTTCCACACAGACCCGGCGGAGGAGCTCCCCCAGGCCCGCTCCTCGGGGCCCTTTGTAGGGGAGGGCGGCGGGAGGAACCCGACCCGCCCGCCCGCCCCCGTCGCCGCCCGGGATCCTCGGTTGCGGCGGACCGGGGACAGCAGCGGGGAGCGGGCTGGGGTCGGCGGGGAGGGGGCTCGGCCGCACAATGGAGCCGCCTCTCGCCCTCACACGCCGCCGCCGCCTTCCTGTGACTCCCACGGG